AAGGACAAAGAGAAAAGAAGGAAACAGAAACTAAGCTTGTGTACATAAGGAGGGTGAGTGGGGTGAAGGGATGGGATGGAAAGGTGAAAAAGGAGGTAGGTCATGTACAGGTACAAATTCCATTGCATGAATGTTGTCATTTACTGCTAACATGTACTGATAAAAATAATTTTTAAAAAAAAATTTAAAGGGGTTGGGGAGATAGCTCAGTAGAATAAGTGCTTGCCTGGAAAGTACAAGGGCCTGAGTTCAATCCCCAGTTCCACAAAAAAATAAATACATAAATAAAATAAAATAAAATTGCTCTTTTACAATATAACACTAATACTTAATTTTCTATACAATCAACTAATTCAAACATCAATTACCAAAATCTACATTCAGAAACTTAGTACAGGTAAATGACTACTGCCAAGATTTCTAAACATTAAAAGTAGTAACAGCATTCTTACCTGTGGTGAAAATTTAATTTAAAGGAACATTCTTGACATAACCCTAAAAAGAAAAAAAGGATATCACTAGATTGTTGAATTTGAATAACTGTTGCAACTATACTTTTAATAGCATAAATCTTCATTACCTTTGTATTTCCTAAGAGGGGAAAAAATTTCAAGTTCAAGAGCAGCTTTAACTACATACTTAAGCATAATCTCAAAAAACAAACAAAAAAGTACATGTATAATACATATGTAATAAAAATGATAACAGAAGGCTTGAGGAATTCAATAAAATATAACATCACTTTAAAAATGGTACTGGCAGCTAGGTGTGCTGGTACAGGCAGCACACCCAACACTCAGCAGGCTGAAGCAGGAAGATCCCAAGTTTAAGGGCAGTCTGGGCTACATGGAGTTTAAAGGTAGCAATCGATATAGCAAGCTCCTGACTAAATGAGAGCTCCTGACTAAAAATCAACAACAAAAGTGTTGTCAATTATTAAACTGTGTACTATTTAACATTAACATGTCAAATTAAGATATTTCACAGTAACAGTATGTAATATGTATTATATAATAGTAAAAATAATACAGGTATAGTCATTTCTTCTACATTGCCATAAGAACCCTCAAAAGGACAGAAAATAGCTGTCTCTTCTTCTGTTTTAATCTGTCTATACTTTTTCCTAGCAAGCACTTCCAGAAGAATTGAGAAACCTGTCTGTGCTGACATCATGTGGGTAGACTGGTAACTTCGAGAAGGAATGGGAAGAAAACTCTGAAAGTCACACTTAACTTAGGACCCATAGAATGCTGGAGACCACTTACATGATGCGGGATGGAGCAACTAACAAATGAAGGTTAATGTTTAAAAATATAATGAAAGGACAGATTCTATAGCACATATAGTAAAATAAACTGATACATTACGGAGCACATCACTCAGTTAAGACTGACCCTGAGGGGATGGGGAGATGGCTCAGCAGCATAAGTGCCTGCCTGGCAAGTGCAAAGTCCTCAGTTAGACTGACACTAAAAAGAGTTACAATATCCTAAAAGGTTTCTTTCCTAACTTCCAAAGAGAATAATTTATTACCCATACCCCAACACTGCAGAAAGACAAACAAAATGTGGTATTATACACATTGTTTGCAATAGATTGCTCTGCATCTTAGATATGAAAGTTAGTAACATACTCAAGCTAATGGAAAAAGATCTCTCTCCAATTACAAGCCCGCATTTAACATTATAATTCTGTTACCAAAATGCTACTATAGGCTCAACCCTGGAGCTTGCAGTCATTGCCTGTCCTGCTTGGATTCCTGGAGCCCTGGCCCTGTCACCCAAGTCTGCACGTGGCCTGACGTGTGAGTGAGACGACCCAGGGCCTGGCGGATCCTGAATTAACCCAGAGCGCAGGCCTGGTGTGTGAATGAGACCACCTGGGGCCCACTGGATCCTCATTTGATCCAGAATGCAGGTCCAGCACAGAAACCTTCAGCAGAACTCCCTGCAAAGAGGCTAGAGGCAAGACCCACCCGGCTGATGCATGAGCAGAACATCTTGCCAGAGAGACAAAAAGAGCTCAACTCTAATGGCTGCAGCAGAAAGAAGTGGAACACAGCAGCCAGATCCAAGCAACACCCACCTGGAGGAATCAG